CGATTTATTCTTTATTCAACATTTCCTCAAGTAATAAAATTATTTCATCAATGTAGAATTTCATTAACCTCTTTAGAACGAGAGTCGATTGTACAATGCTGGCTTATTGCCGAGAGGAACATAGTACAAAAAATGTTAGACTACAGAACAATCACAATACAATTATGTTTATTGAATATACGGGAATTACTAAATTAGTTATGATAATTTACAAAGGAATAATGAAAAAGACCAAATAAATAAGCAATAGAGTCAACTGAGTAGACTATTCTCTAAAGTAAGCGTATGGCTAAATAAATGCATTTGATGACTGTTAATTCTAAGTATGATGTTCACATAGAAGAAATCATTCTTCGAATGGAACAAGAAGAAGAGAATATTACAACTTCTTTACTACACTTTAATTAATATATTTATTGTATTATAAAACCTTTAAAAACTATTTACATTTTAACAATTTGTATTTTACTCAATGCAATTTAATGCTTTTACACATGTTTATTCTTAATCAAAAACATACTGCACCTGAAAAGAATGAAACCGCCCAAGGTGAAAAAATTAAAACAGTAATAAATAATTAATTAAGTATATTTCAATTGACAAAATACAGGAACCTGCCCTGGGAGGGCTTACAAAATTTTATTAAAAAGACGCCGTTGTTCTAATTTGTTTATTTAAACAATAATACCGAATATAATTTAACTTATTCAACATATTCGAAACTAATATTTTAAATCCGCCCGTCTAACATATTAACCGTATAGAAAACTATAATAATACAAAAGTGAGAGAGCACGGTCGAGGGCGAAGATGATTTATCATTCTCGAATATTATATCTTTGATAAATCGTTTAATTATAAAAAAAAGTAAGTAATGTAAGAACATATACCTAACTACTGAGATATCATATTCTTTAAAAATACAAACTTCTTAAAATATTGCATTAACAATGTTCCTTCTATTTGGTATAACACCTTTCTCAATATCAAGGATTTGCTTTCCGTTAAAACAACTTACTATATACCGCGCGTGGTTATACCACAATATCTCCTGAGTATTAAAATCCACGGGTGAAAATACATAATACGCTCGAAATGACAAAACATGTTACTTAAAAATATTCTTTATAATACTCATAAAAACCGAACTTCAAACAAAGTTCGTTTTTCACATGAATTTTGAAAATATAATTTTCAAACGAATTTTTGTTGTGTTGCATTCATTTAAAATACCCAAGAAAAATGATAAATATTAATGATTAAAATCTTAGTATGTTAGTTACTTTTGATTCATTATACCGATAAAAAGATGAAAAATAGAAAAATGGGAAATTTTCAATTCTGTTCGCACCAGTCTTGTTTTATTAATTTTCCGAATTTATTATTTTAAACAAATTTGAAACGACAAGAGAAGATGAAAATATACGAATTAAACTAATAACTATAATCAATAAATTTAATTTACTCTTTGTCTTTCATCTTTCGTTGCAATAACATTATAGATTATAGTTAAGTACTAGTTTAATTCATATCATTCATTTTCCCCTTCATCTGTCTTTCCAAGTTTTTCTCGAACTGGTATCTTGCAAAAGTAATACAGCCCTTTGTCGGAGAACAGGAAAAGAAACAAAGGCAATGTCAATATGTGTTTCATATGCTCTGGATCTTTTACAATTGGATCTGAACAATTAAACAGAATTGACCTGTAAACACACTTGTTTTCAAATGAGGAAAGGAACATTTTACGTATCATGTTTGCACACGTGGCGAATAGTATAAGTTGGTAAAGAAAAAAGCAATTGTTCAACTTTTTAAAGGAACAATTAAACGACAAATAACTCTACAACATCGCACGACAATGTGTTTTAAGTCTCTAATTCAATTTTTCTAATGGTCAACGGCTGCTTATTTTAATTGTAAAAACACGTATTTCATTTATAAAAACACGTATAATTATTAATAAAAAGGCATTAATATTCCACAAAAAATACATTTCTCACCATTTCAGGTTCGGATTTTAAAGATTATAAGAATTTTATTAAATCAAATAATTATTTTTATTTCTCGCTTTCCATCAATCCTTTAAAAAGTCAAACACTAACACTATATAAGGCACATTATTTTTCCGATGTAAATGATAGACAATGCCTAAATTACTTAACATCTAATCCTAATTTAGTTATACGTGTAATGCACTATCGTGTTTTTACGAATAAAAATATATATATTGTCGAAAAGGCCACATCGCGTAAATTGCTTTCGCTTATGCTACTTTTCCTTATACAGAAAGTATTTTTCTAGTATACTAAAACCATTTTTGTAGCCTCGTTCGCAAAACATTTTGGTGTTTTTTCGCTCGGAGGCATTGAGTTTTCCCTACCTAGCATTTTGAGACGACAGTATGTAATACTATGTAATCATTCAAATTAATTTCTACCATTTCATCTAACATATATCGCTAACCGTATGTACAAAAGTAATTGATCTTTTGATTAAGTCTTTGAGCATAGTGTTATCGCTTAATGAATATTTAAAACACTACGTACCTACACTGGAATGATATTGTCCCATATCACAGAAATGTCGCGTGTGCTCGTTGCACCCACGCTGTTCTGAGATGATGTTTACTACTCTACTGAGGATTAAGTAATTCAATCGTAAAAGAATTGTCATGATAATTGCATTAACTATTAAGTTACGGATTTTTATACATTTATAGTTAATAAAAGTTCTCGAAGTTCTGTTACTTTTCTGCTATTAGAGACGATATAACACAGTCTTCTCCATTTCTTTAAAAGACTGGGAATTTGCATAAAAATCCGTAGGCTACTAATAATAAAGTGGCAAAGAGATGGTTTGCTGTTCTATTCGTTGAAACTCGTACAGTAATAGCCCTTAAAAATTTATACTGCGAATTGATAAACAATTACCTAAAAGAATTTAGTGTGAATTTTAAAAGTGATTTTTACTTTATTTAAGTCTTAAATTTATTTTATTTTAAAAACGTAAAAAAATGCATTTTTAAATTAATTTTTCAACATTTTTCAATAATTGAGATTTCCATATTCAAATGAAAGATATGAATGTATGAACTTTTTTTGACCTTTGAGTCTCAACATTGGGCTACATTCTTTTTCTTTTAAATAAATCACACTCATAACTCGAATTAACGGCATAAATTGTAAACGACATTGTAATAAATAGAGAGCATCTTGGTAAATATTAATAGACTTGGTAGGCACTAAGGTACTGACCAAAATTGTGGACATAACGGAACACAAATCTTTTCGCGACATTTCATAGAAAATATTTGGATTTTCGCTTAGAGAGACATATTAATAAACATCCAGACTGTTTTCGCACTTTACAAGATAGAAATTTCGTGATTAATACTTCGAATCCAGTTTATGCTTTTGCTGATTAAGATTCTAATAAAAATTCAACAACCAGTTAGTTTATTTGTCTATTGATACTAAATTTCAGTTTCGTTTTTTCTTCATTTAATTAGTTTAATTTTTACGAACCTTTGGATCTAGGACAAAAGTCCTAACAATAATCGGCACTCTAACTGATTGTTTAGTGGGAATGAATGTAAAATTCACGTTAAATGATAACTCGTTTTCGTATTATCCTGGGCGGAGCAGAGCAAACGGAGCCGCACAAATTGACCATTAGTGACATTCCCGACTGGGAATTACAGTCTATCAAAAATCTCGCAGAGGCAGGGATACACACCCCTGATGATTTACACAAAGTACATAAAATAATCATGAGATCCGTAGAGCGTAAGATTCTATCCATTAAGATATTGAGAACATTTCAGAGAGATGAATCACTATCAGACAGTGTCAGCATATTAAATGCAATTAATGACAACGAGATCAGCAAATGCTTTCTTTTCTACCACTGTCTTTTCCACAATTATTGGACTGTTTGTATGTATCAGGCTTTTTAAATTCATACTGAACAATATCATAAACCTGGGAGTCTTGTATAGGACTTTTGACCTGTTCTGAAAATTATTTTTTTTTTTATGGGAGAATATAGTCCACCAATTGATTAGATACAACGAACAGACAAGAATTTAGATTTAGAAGTGAATATTAATCACGAAATTCTGCTCAAATACAAATATATTACTATGCACTGGTTATTTACATGCAGTCTTTTGTGATTCAGCATACACCGGTACAAAAATAACGTTCAAAAATGAGGAAAACCTAAACGAGAACTGGCACTTTACCAACACATTAAAACGACGTATAACGAATTGAAGTGGTGTACTATATACTAAAAACATTGTAAAAAATAAAATATGGCTCTCAAGGAGACAGGTGAGAGGAAAAGGGAAGCGTCGCTTTTACGTGTGTTGCAGTAACGCGACCCTTTTCCCGTTCTCTTTGCCTAAATATTAAAACGAAATAGCTTATGGCAATCCTTATGGCGTAAATTACATGATGGCACAAAAGTATATCTTTTTTTTGCACCAGAAAGAATCTTCAAAGCTCGAGCACAATAATGATAAAAACATCTTAAGGGAAAGAAATTTGTTGCATTAAAATAATAATAATAAATTCGCACATGCCAAATGTTTAATAAATTTTTTCTCTCGAATGTTGAGATTTTTCGAATACGCAGTACATGCTCAATTAATATTGAAACAATACTGTTGAGTTTTATTTATTTAATTAATAAATAAACGTGTTAGGTTATTGATCTATTAAATAGACATAAATTTAAAATGTTTGTTGTTTAAATTGTTAAAATACAACAGTTTTCTTCCCACGAAATAGTTTTCATCGTTAAAGTCCTTCTCTCTTTTTCCAATGCTTAACTTATTCTCTAGTTTCTGGCACTGTGCATTTCGATGCTCTAGCTCACGTAATTTTTCTTAACTTATTTTAATTTTATTCGTACAGCTATACATTCTTCGATAATACTTTTTAAGTGACTCTGTTATGAGTCATGGCAATCCTTTTTTTGATCTCGTATTTTATGAGACTAGGAGCAATACATTCATGTAACTGATTCAACTGATTCGTGCTGTGTGTAAAGATCACTGTTTTTCCTTTATCACACATTATATAACCTTACACAGTTTATTTACTTTTTACACCTCTATACATATTCAATTGCAAGAGTTAATACATGAAAGTTTGACCAAAGAATTATTACAACCTTGAGTAAACCATAAACATATCAGAAGGAGGTACTGTGCTATGTACTCTTCAAATGACTAAAATCAGTTGAATCACTTACACATGTGCGCAAAACATTATTTCCATTTCCATTGAAGAGAGAACAGCGTTATCATAGGAAAGCAAATGGAGAAAAGAAGGGACTTCATTGAAATTTCATCGCATATAAGACAGGACTGCAGCATGCCAACAGTTTACATTTTAAAAAGTCTATGACTGATGTTTCACAATAATTTACATTTCATAGTACTGACAAATGTAATGATGAATAAAATTCATGTATATATAATATATCAACAGTTATTAAAATATTAATTTTACATCAGTTGCACATAAATTTAAGAATCTATTGATTCACTTCTATAAATATTCAAAACAAACTACTTCAAAAACAATAAAAACAAAATTGGTCAATGCGTTAAAATTATGAATTTTTTATTATGTACTCAACATAAAATAGTTATAATACTCAAAATAGTTAGAGAATTTGGTTGAAAATAATAGTTGAAGAATTAATAAGTAGGTGAAAATGCAGAAAAGTAACTCCCTTACTGATTTCAATGATTTTTTAATATGTCATACAAATTAATGCTTTGAACATGGAAACTAAAAGGCATCAAACTTTTTGTAACAATTATTATTATTCAAAGTATTAATTTCTATAAGATATTAGAAGATCATTAAAATCGGTGACGAAATGGCCTTCCTGCAGCTTCATCGAATTTTATTCGTGTTGATTTCTGGAATAAATTCTCACATGACATATTAGTTCCAGTGAGTAATTCTCTAATTCCTTTGAGCTTCATACCATTAAATGTTTTTTTCAAAGTTGTAGCATCGTTTCAAACGTAAATAGTGCGCATTTAAATGTTCAATAATTTAAAGACAAATACAACTGTGTCTAAAGTACACCTTTTTTTCTCAAAATTGTATTCTCAGTGAAATATCGGCGTGTAATAGTAATATATTACAGAAAAGAGAAAGTGAAAACGCAGAAGTAATTGGCCGGAGTTTAGTCGCCAAGAAAACCGCTGCTCGATGAAATATTCTTTCGCATATTTATCAGATAACAATTATGTATAAAAATACTTATGCAAAATGAAATTTATACTTTGTATGCTACTTTGAATTTATAATTTGTTTCTTCGATACAATATTTTATAAGTTAGGTCTTTAATATAGAATTCAAAACTTCCCACGTATGATATGGTCAGCTAAATATGGCCAAAATTTCGGAATCACTGTATGACGTAGCGAGCGTCTCTTTCATACTGGCTTCATTAGTTCACGATGCACGACTGTTTCGAGAAAGTAAAAAGTGGTCGGTGTAAAGCGTCGGCCTGAACCCCTTAAAGGTTTTACGAGCCGGCTTTTATGGGTTCTCATATTGTCTCCTTTCCTCTTCGCATCTTATTCGCACTGCTAATCGCTAGTCTTTACCAATCCCTTTTGTCTCCTCATCGCTCGAACCGAAAGAGAGCGCGCTGAGACTTGATTGCTCGATTGTGAGCAATTTTAGGGCTGTGTAACGACTCTACGTGAACGAGTAAAACGCGAGCAGAAATTTATGACACTGCTAAAAGAGCCGTTCAATTTACATCGTGCGAATTTACGAACTGAAAATTAAGAGAAACGATGAGCAATATTCTGAAAACATTCCATAAACTAGCTGCTAACGTGGCAGCAAATTAATAGTATATAGTAATTGGCTGCTACTCTAAAGAATTTGTAAATTGTTATCCATAATGAAGCGATAATTTCAGATTTTATTGCGTTTTCACCTTCTCTGAAAGCTGGTTCTCTCTTCCACCTGTTTACCCGATCGAACAGGCACAGCAAGTACTTCGGGACAGAAATGAATCTTAAACCAAGCTTGGTCTGCCTCCAGACTACATTGCTTAACCCTCATGCATCAGTGGGGTCACTTTAACCTAGAAGCAAACCTCTATTTTTAAAAATATATAAATTAATTAAAAATGAGCAATTTATGTATGTTATAATTGAATCATAGATCTTTTTCTTCAACCAGGTGTCAATTTTGATTGAATTACATTTGTAAAATATTAATACAGTAATCGGCTAAAAACAGTGTAAAAGTATTAATATTCATTTCAATGTCCAAGTACTCGAACGAACGCCACCGTACCACTTTTTTCGTGAGGAACTGCGTTTCACGACAATTACAATAATTCGAGAAATATGCTTATTCTAAACAGTTATAATTTAACTTTCCTTGTAAAAGATGACAACCTTAAAAGAAATGTTTTATAATACAGTGTGCTGAATGATCGACGTTTCTTCGACGAAGTTTATAATCTCCTGAGATTCCGCTTGCTTTGCCTCGAGCCGACAACTAGGCGTTTGCTCCTCTTAGTCGGCGTAGCTAACAGGGGTGTTTTACAGGGGCCCGTGTGCGGCCTCGATGAACACGAGGTGCAAAATTCCATCAAGCAACCTTGCCTTGAACACGTTCCCACGTTCTTCTCGTCATTCACGTGACAGGGGAATGAACACTTTGGACAGGGCAACAAATGCTCCCCGGGTGCAAGGGTACGACTAGCCTGAAAAAAGTGGAAAAGAAGTAATTAGTAACTTTCTATTACCATGAACTCTTACCGAAGAAAATTACATTGTCAAAATTGGATAAGAATCGGCATAAAATTTTATCTTAACGTTTTCAAATAAATAAAAAATGCAATGAAAATGCAATATTAAATTCTAATATTTTCGAGAATTTCATATTTTCTTGTGGATTTATAATTAATTTATCCTTTTTTACAGTTAATATTGCAAAACTACAAAGAGACCTATTTCTTAAAGTAGTTATATATACACAAATGTTACTTCGATACATATAAATACGGAATATGACGATATACGAAATCCTTATAGCGCTTACAATGTAAAGTTCATAGATTTATTTTCGCATCCACAGCACGGGAAGTGTTATTATATAAAAGATAAGAAATAGTTTTATAAATTTTTTGTACAGATAAGTAGGTATTATCTTTTGTAGATCAACAATATTTAATTTCCTCATTCGATAATGGTAAGTTGTCGGTAGAGAAATGCTCAAAGTAGATTTGTACATTACCGACACTTGACCAGACGGTAACATCGTTGCTGCGGTCTTATTTTCAGAACACACACTTTTTAAAGAGACTTGTACAAAACTTCGAAATATATTTAATATATTGAATCTTATAACAGTCATTACACAAGTTGGTAAATTTTACAATTGAAAATGTACAGTGTTTAATTACTATATAACTTGTGCAACGTACTTTACTTCTCGAGGTAAATATTATAATAATTAACTAAATTTCTCTAAAACTAATGTATCAGAAAAATCATAGTGAAACGAAACACATTACACAAAAAAAACCTACATTTATGATATTAATTATTCTGTGACATCGGTGCGTTACATTATGTAATATAACTATTACCATAAATTGTTATTTCAAATTTGACAAATGCCATACCTATTTAGGCAAAAAGAAAAAAGAAATTGTTACTTTCTGCAAGCGCGAAAGTTCATTACAGAGTCTTCACATTTTGTTTTAAGATAATCTAACTAATTGCATTTCTATCTACTTGATTCCTAACAATGTGAGGTAATTAGTGAATGAACCAATATTGTCACTTTTCGAATCCCTTTTGTGCAGGGAATAATTAATCGCATTAGTTACGTCAGGTTGCACCTGTTCACGTCAGAATGACTTATTGCAGTAACGCAAGGTGAAAGGAGCGTTAAGCCGAGCACCAACACAAGGATTACAGGGGGATTCACCTGTATGCATACATATTCAAAAGTGTGATCAAATGCACGTAAATGAGTGCTAATTGTTTATATGCAACATCACTAGTTTGAGAACAAAAATAATTGCTGGTGTACTCGATGAAATTACTTTATCGTTAAGAATTTGTTAGAAACAGGACAGAATATGATACTTATTTGATGTCTACGTTCACTTTAAAGTTTCACGATTGATAATAGAAAAGTAACATTTAATTTATATTCAAGAAAAGCAAATAACATTCAGATTTGTCGAGTTTAATTTAAAATACATTACGAGTCTGACACGATATTATAGGATAAAGGATTAACCCCTTACACCCCGAATTTGTTTTGCATATTTCCCTCGATAGCTCTGTATTATTGTGATATTTTATTTGAAATGCAGTTTAAAAACCAGTTAGTTTGTAGAGAGCACTGTAAACGGTTCTTCTCACTAATAATATTGAAAATAATATAATAATATAATCTATTTAATCTATTTTAAAAAGTATTTTGACAAAGAAGCACACTTATGAATAAAACTGATGTCGAGTCACGCTCGACATAAACATTTATTTGAGATTCTATCGAACTAACCGGAAATAGCATCTAAATACTTCACGCGATTGTTTATGGGTGAATAACCTATCGAAAATAAACGTGGCCAGTTATTGTGCGTATTCGCGACTGAAACATAGCGTCACGAACAAAGAGCAACGTTGTCGGGACATGTTGTGTCGAGCATCTGTCGTGCATTAGTAATTAGTACGTCAGCAAATGCGTGAGAAAATTTCGACGATAAGTAATCTGCAAGGTGAAATTCTTCTCTTGGATGCAAGTACTTGAATGGCAAAAGTCAGTTTTGAAAAGCATTCTTAAATATTTCTAAGTTAATTACTTTTTCCATATAATTGACATGTATCAACGCTCTCTATAACATAAGAAAAAATTAGTATTTCTCCTGTGCAGTTTATAACAGTAATTATCATAGGAATTGTAATATAAGTTTCTATACTTGCCCATAAAACAAAACCATATAATGAACCATCTTGTTTACCAAAATATTCTTTCTTCATTATTTATCTAATATTAGTTAACGAAAAAAGAGAATATTTTAAAAAATGAAGAACTCTAGTATTTCATACTAACTGATTTTATATCTTCAATGGTAATTTCAATATTACTTCTTTTCTCAATATTCATTTCAAATTTATTTTATTCACTGAACATACTCAGATATGTTTAAGTTAATTTGTATTTGGTTTAAACATGAGTTAGTTTTGTTGTACTATTAAAATTATTCTCAAATTAAGTATTATTTAATTGGATTTTAATGTTTTATATATATATCTTTTTTAATTGCCTGAAAATGAAATCAGTAATTTCAAAAGAATGTTATATTTATTAAGGACGTTATATTGCTAAGTTAGAGGTCACTTTATAAAAATATATTTTTATTCAAATTTTTATTATATTCAAAAGAAATCTTATTTTCTTAAATACATTATTTACTATTATAAAATTTATTGAAATATTATCAAACGAACGTCCTTCGCACGTTTTTCTTGGCTGGTTGGCGAAAAGATAGCACGCTTTCGGCCGACAGTAATTTACGACTGTGTCACTCGGATCCTCGTGCCTAGCAACCGAGTGAATTCCAGTCAACAATTCCGAAAGAAACGTCGAAACGTTGGCGTCAGAATTTCTGGCGGGAAAGGTGGGCCTTGCGGCTTCGAAGACATATGGACGTAATGCAATCTTATCTTTTCCTCCTTAATTTCATTACTGAACGATATGATATAGAGAGTTTGTATACTCTTACGATCATTAAATATGTTTTCGATAATTAATTCGATGAGGATTTTTATTAAATATTTTTTTATATTATTAGGATATTATAGTATTTATATTACACGAGTTACGAAGATCAAGTGATGTAAAATCTCATAGATTTCATATGTTTCATCTTTTATGGTTTATTTCATACTTTTTTCAAACCTTACAGAAATGTTTATATATATTTTAAGAAAAGAATTTCTTTAAGTAATCTTTCCCTTCGTAACGAAAATACTATATTATACTGTGGATGTAAATGGATTTATAACGTATTTTATTGCATAAATTCTAATCAAATAAATATTATTGTACATTTATTGAAACTCTTTACCAAGGAAGTACTGTTTTACTGAAAATTCAATTATAATATCGATAATAAATCCAATTCAATTATAAATCCAATTATAATAATCCAATTATTATTCTTTACTTATCCATTAACGATTTTAAAACCGCGCTGGTGATTATAATTTTTCTATTTTTAAGATTTGTTTGTACATCTTTTCTTCCGAAATTTTCTTTTCATTCTTGGAAACAAAAATATGTATGCAAAAGATGGGATTGTGTATTGTTATAAATAAGGTTATAAATGGAACTTACAAAAAATGTGTTCAAAATTTGTACCAGAATTCGCAGTATATTAAACGCGTACTTAATAAAGAAACTCATTAACAAACATAGTAACACGATCTTTTCAATCGTTTAATCAGCGACAACTCATTGTTAAGTATAAATTTAGTTACAATTTCTTTTTTACGAAAAACAATAGTATAAAGGCGAGTATTCTTCTTATCAGAAAATTTCCTTAATCGTACTTCCATCTTCCCAGTTCAGTTAGCTATGAATATCTTTACTATATTGAAGTTCTTTGTTTGTACAAAATAATTATTAATATTAACTGCAACGAATACCACAGCACACATACTGGTAAAAGATTTCTAATGTAAATTTGCATTGTTCAGTAACTTCATCATACTTTCGTTCAACGTCTGAGCTATCAAAGAATAAGTTACACGTTCGTTCATTCGTAAAAGTTTTTCGAAAAGAAGATGAGGACTCAACACACGATCATCGTAGGTAGATAAATTCCAAAGAAACGTATGGCGTGAGAGGTTGAAAATTTAGTAGAATACCCGAGGGCCAACGGTTGTTTCAAACGTATGCCGCCCATGGCAACAGAGCACAGAAACGTAAAAAGATGGCGCTAGGGCTTTAACGGCCCTTTTCTCACAATGTAGCAGCCGCTGGGGCTGGGGCAACATTGCGCGATATGTGTGTAGAAAAACGCTGCCGATGTCGTAACAGACCCCACATATCCCCACGTCTATATCTTCTTGTGTGCTTCCTGCATAGAAGAAGATGAAGCGCGTCTTCGGTGATTACCACGGAGAGAACCATTATGTGAAGTTCGGAATCATTAATTGGGTACACTATGATTTAAAAGTTTAGAAACAGTCATATCTCTCAATAAAGTACACCTCTTTCATCGTCGTCGTCGTTGTCGTCGTTGTCGTTGTCGTTGTCGTTGTTGTTGTATATCATACTGGTTTGGTTTATACGATATCCAGTTACGAGATCTGAATTCAGTGACGCTGAATAAAATTTACTTTTGTTTCCTAAAATGTCGTTATGATTATTTGTTTTCTTAAGGTATGTGAAATATTTATTTCTAAAACTTATGGCAGCTTTTTTTCCAATATTTCGTTTTTCATTGGCACTGGCGGACTACATTTGAGCAA